ATCAAGGCTTTGTTATTTCAGATTTTCCATGCTCTGCAGTTCCTACTATCTCTGATTCAATTTTATGTTCTTTGGGTTTGGGGTTGGTAGTGATGGGGGGAAGCTGTAAAGAGAGCAAAAAGCATGTGCGATTATTATAAGTGTACCAGATGAAGTACTGCAAATTTTTGGAACTTATTCTCAATCTGATATCAGGATATACAATTTAAGTTAGCCTATAGCTTTCATGGCCTACAGTTTTCTCAATTTAACTAGATAGTTTCTTTCTGCCCTTAGTTACATTGCCGCTCATGCAGTACATAACGTTTCAGCAATACAAGGCATTAGTCACAGTAATTTGCCTTTCAATGTGATCTGATAATCCTCAACTCCATTTTTCCTCAACGCTTGATTCCCTTACTGATGAAAGATCTATCTCAGCATTGAATATACTAAATGACCCAGCCTTGATAACCCTTTGCAAAATAAAACTTCACAGATTCACTGCCATCCAAGAAGTCGTTCCTGCTCATAAATGTGTGTGATCTCTTATTCTGAGATTATGCCCTCTGGTCCTCGTCTCTTTCACAAGATGGGGAAAAGTCCAGTCTTTCTTGCTCTACTTTGTCAAATCCCCTAAGAATAAGGTTTCCACTCATTCTTCTAAAATCTAATGAGTGTAGGTCGAACCTACTGAACCTTTCCTTCTAAGACACTCCCTCCATACCTGGTATCAGCATGGAGAACCTTATCCTCTCTTTAATACTAATGTTTCTTTTGTTCTCATTATTTTTGGATATACTTTGTGTCCAAATTCGTCAAGCTATATGAATTAAAAAATAAAATCTAGAATTAAGAGTCTAATGGTGACCGTCAAAGTGTTAGAAAAACCCATCTAGTTTACTAATCCCCTTTAGGGAGGGAAACTTCCATCTTTACCAGGTCTGGCCTCCATGTGACTCCAGACCTGCAGCAATCCAGGTAAGTACTTGTGATACCACACTGTTGAATTTACCTTGGACTGTTTTAATGAACGATAATTGGTGTAATTTCAATCCAATTCCAAACTGACTTTAAAAATTTTACACTGTCTCTGCATGTTCTGATTCAAATTAAATGTTTATAGCTTCAAATCTTATAGAAACAAAAACATCTATGTATTTGCAAAATTTACTGAATAATGAGGACTCCGATTACTGTATTTTTTAGAATTAAAATTCTAAAAATTTTTTGGTTTGTTTGGAAAATGTATAAGTGTATGGCATAAGTTTAAGCTTGTGAAGGGTAAGGGAAAATTGGCACGTAAAGTAATTGTATCAGTGTTCCGAATGCATCACTGCAATTTTACTGGGTGTTTTGATCATGCTTAAGTATGGATAGGAGAGAATAATGACAAATGCACCTTTGTTTTGTTCATACTTGGGATAGATCTTAAAATTCATGATAAGATCATGAGTAAGATATGGAAGTATATTCTTCCCTGTAATAGTTGTACCAATCAATCAAATTAATTTATGAAATCTGCTTATTAAAGGAGAAAACTGACCCAATCTTCAGAATTAGATCATCCAGCTCTGGTCTGTGCATTGCCACTGCTTACCTCATTGGTGGCTGTGCTTTCTGCCTTCTAGGCTTCGCATTCCATCATTTCTTATGTAAAACACTTTATATCTTCCTTGAACTCGCTGTTTTAAACAACCATTTGTGTGTCTCTTTGAATTCTTTGTTTTTAACTTGATTACTGTGAAGCACTTTGGCATACTTTTCTGCGCAATGTAAATTAAAGTTGCAGATATCTGAGTAACATTCTAGGCAGGTGTAAGGGCTGTAAGTATATACATGTGCAGGCTAAAGGCTTAAATATTTTACCAGCTATATAGAAATTATGGGTTTAGTCACCAGGTAGGCATTGTATGGGAGTTGTTGTTATGATCAAATTTAAAAGTTAAGTCTATCAACGTGTCGGCATGGTGGCTCAGTGGTTAGCACTGCTGTCTCACAGCGCGAGGAACCCAGGTTCGATTCCACCTTCAGGAGACTGTCTGTACGGAGTTTGCACATTCTCCCCGTGTCTGCATGGGTTTCCTGTGGGTGCTCCGGTTTCCTCCCACAGTCCAAAGATGTGTAGGCTAGGTGGATTGGCCATGCTAAATTGTCCGTAGTGTGCAGGGATGTGTAGATTAGGTGGGTTGTGGGGGATGGGTCTGGGTGGGATGTCTGAGGGTCAGTGTGGACTTGTTGGACCAAAGGGCCTGTTTCCACACTCTAGGGATTCTATGACTATGACTCTATGTCCACATGATGGTTGTTGATGCTAACAAGGCTGTCGTGTGAGGTGGATCATTTTCATTAGCATTTTTAATTCAGTGCACATCATTTCCAGTCTGCAATTTTGCACCAAGCTTTACGATCTTGAATCATTTCTCCTGAAACCTCCAAAGTACACCCAAGCCTAAGGTTGAAATTGGGTCCTTTCTTCCAGACAGAAATACCCAGTTCTTAACCTTAAAATAAAATTAGGTTATAAAATTATTCTGTCTGGCTATCCTGCCATGTTCTCATTAGCCAAAATAACATTGTATAATTTGAGCACAACTGTACAAAGAAATGTTTTGTCATTTGTTTAACCGCCTCCAAATTTTAAGCAGAATAATTAAAAAGGCCAAGAGAGTAATTGTGTATTATACAAAGTTTCTATTATCTTTGTGACAAACTTTCATAATCCTTTCATTGCCATTACTCTGTTCAGATCAAACTTTTTTTTATTTGTTTTCTCTGACATGTCCATTCATTTAAATTAATGTCACAGACCAAAATGAAATCAATATAATGCAGCTGAAATCAAGGGCATTTCATTGTATTACTAGGACTTTCCAAATGACCCACTAATTGTTATTTATGGTCAACAATTTCTATTTATGTCACTTGTCGTCCACAATTCTCAGGAGAAATTAGATTTTTTGATTGACTTTTTTTTCTACATCTGGGTTAACAACCTAGTGTATTTCAGTGGTAAATATTTGAACCTATGCAGAAGCACATTAATGAGTCTATTAGTGAGAAGTTTGAGACAACAGAATTTAAGAGATTTTTTAAATTTATTGCCTCTTGTGACCAGTTCTAATAAGTTGAAACTTATCTTTAAGAATCCATAGTACCCAGATGTTTTAAATTCAAGACTGGAAGAAATAATTTAAAAATAAAACTTTCTTAACAGCATTAGGATATCCCAAAAATACTGTGCAAATAATCATTTTGTAAATATAAATATATATATACAAGTACCACAACTAATATGTGTATAGCAAGATCCCACAATGACATAAATGTGTTTTGGAGGTGCAGATAGGAAGTGAAAGATGGATATTGTGAAACTTCTCTGTCTGTTTTGAATAGTGCTCATGTGATATCTTCTGTCTATAATTATACCATAACTACTGAGCTTAATTTAACATCTCATTCATAACATTGCATTGCTGACGGTGCACCATGACTTTCATCGTGCATTGGATTATCAGCCTGACATCCTAGCCTCAAGTCACTTCAAAACTGATAGATGAATTGGGCATTCTGATTAAATCCAAGTTGCAGTCATCTCAAATGTTTGATTTTGGGAGGATAGATATGAAAAATATTAGAATATTCTTTGATTCTACTGTCAGTATTTCTAATGATGATGATATGTTTGGATTGGTGGTACGTGTTTAAAAGTGAAGAGATTATAGATTTGAGTCGTTCTGAGACTCAATATTCAAAAATGTGTCAGTAGATTTAGCCCTTTGCTAGTTAATTAGCTCTCACAGTTTCTTTTTCTAATGTACATCTTGCCTTTTTAACCTGTCTCTGTTTGTCTTCCTTTGACATATGATACATCAAATTTAGCTAGTTTAAGGTTTAAGAAGAATATTAGCTATGTAATAATGCTTTGGTTTAACATGCAATGGGAAGCTTTATTGAGACTAGCATGGTGAATTTTGCAAACTGGCAGTAACTGCTTGTCAGGAAATCAGTGGACATGTATCAGTGCTACACGGATTAAGTGGATTAGTGTCCAGGTTTGATTGTTATACTTAACAGCAAAGAAGGACCATGAAAGTCCAAGAATTGATGGTGGAAAATGAACCAGATAATTAAGTTCACAAACAAAAACAGAAATTACTGGAAAAGCTCAGCAAATCTGCCAGCATCTGTGGAGAGCAATCAGAGTTAACGATTTCTGAAGAAGGGTTATCCGACCCAAAACGTTAACTCTGAATGTCTCTTCACAGATGCTGCCAGACCTGCTGATCTTTTCCAACAATTTCTGGTTTTGTTTCTGATTTACAGCATCTGCAGTTCTTCGGTTTTTATCAGGTAGTTTAATTACAACCTAAGTAGGTTAACCAGTTTCCAAAGCTTGAAACTCCAGATGACTGAGCATTTTAGATAATTTTCTCTGAAAAAAATCTGATTTTCTATGTATGTCAGAAAATAAGTATGAATGACAAACCCAGTGCTATTGAACATTGATTTATTTCTGGTATTATTGCCCATTCTGGAAGGAGTTTGCAATATACAAGGAAGTGAC